TTGAGTGAATCCATCCTTGCTGTTGACTTTCACGTGGATCCTGTAGGACGGGAGAAGGTTTAGGAGATAGCAGCACTGCTTAGGGGGTTTGAGCAACATACTGTAAAACCAGGTTAGATACATTAGAATAAGTTGTGTACATGGCAAGTCTACACCCCGCCATCACAGTCGTAGTCATCCTCACTATCGTAATTAGCACAGTTTCTGAGGAGGGGGGCATCTACAAGAGCTTTTTGGCAAGGGCCACTATCAACAGCAGTTGGTTTCTCTTGGCAGTCAATACCATGAGGTTCATCGTCATTGCTATTCGACTCTCCAGGAGGCTGACCATTGCTACTATCATCCTTGTTGCATGCTGCATCTTCAGGTGGCTCCGCGTTCAAGTCAAAATTGAGGTCAAACCCACGCGGGCTTGCTTCTGCCTTCACTTCTGCATTCGAGTCAGCTTCCCTCTTGACTGGTCTTGCTTCTGTCTTCACTGCTCGAAGGTGTTCCACCTTTGGCTCATTAATTGCAATTGGAGTCTCCTCAGCATCGCAGTCATTTCTCCTCGGAATCTTCACTTTGCAAAGCACCTTAAACGGCCTTGGCTGGTCGGACAGAGCTTTTGACCTTTTTGTTGGCTTGCTGAGATCATCCGCTTCATCTCGCTTCCTTGAACCAGAGCCACTTGAGCCTTCAGCTCTTGCACTTGAGATTGGATTGCCGTTCTTTAACTTGACTTCCGCCTTCACCACTTCGTTGCAGCCGTTTGATCTCCCACGGTTAGTCCCCTTCGATTCCTGTTTAAGACAACGCAAGAAGCAAAGACTGGTGAGCCCGGGACAACTCGCATCTTCGAGCTGAACAAAAAGCAGCAATCTGCTCACCCTAAATTTCGGAGAAACAGGATCTTCTTGATCATCGTCGGACAGCTTCCTGCGGCAGAAAGGACGAAGCAGAATCAATCGTGAAGTCAAAGCTCACAACCGTAGTCGCGATTTCAGTTTACTGCTACAATAATCTCACCTCTTCGCGCGACCGGATGGGGCGTCATCAGGAGAGTCCGGGGCGTCAACATCTGGAAGTTTGGAAACGACTTCTTTCAAAAAATCGTACTCGCTGAAAGAGGCGACGCACTGTTTCCTGCAACACAGTGTCGGTCGACAGTTGATTAGCACAAGAAAAAATGCATGACATTCTTTGCAGTAAAAGATGCGACGGAAAAATAACGTACAATATAACCTACAAATGGGACGCGGCCAGGGTTTTCGCCCCGCGCTTGCAAGTGATATCATACGTCCGATCACACAAGTCCTGGAGGAAAATCTCTAGGGCCTTGGCTGCACATCTAACCCCGAAAACATATGGAAACGGAGGCATGCAACAAACAGACTTAGTTGAGAAAAAAAATCCATAAAGCGAGAAGGAGGTAGCAGACACAAATATCTTTCCAACGTACATATCAGAACAGGAGTTGCGAGCGCTATCTTTCCGACTTCTTCATCCGCTTGCATGATCTTCTTTATTCGCGCCTGAAGACCACAAACGCGACAACAAAACATGAAGCCTGAGTGGAAGATGAACACGTCACACTGCAAAAAAGGAGGACGAACGCTGCACGTACCGCTGGAAACCGAGTGTCAAGCTTCTTCCTCATGGTTGCCGATGTGGTTCCTAAGTCAGGTACACAGGAGCAGTTGGGTTGGAGGAAGGAGGGTAGCTTGCAGAGCAGGTGTTGGTGCCCAGATCGGTGAGCACCACCAGGAGGGTTGGGTTGCGAAGCCTAGCAAAATTGGACGGAAATTGCGAAACCCTGACGGGAACTGGAACGGAACGGCAGGCAACAGGGGCGTCAAGCTGACGGAGACTGCCAAACAATGTGGATGATTTTTATAGTCTGGGTTTCGAAATGCTTCGAGTGTTCGAATGGACCTTCAGATCTCTGCAGCCCCAAAGAACTTCCTGACCCGGATCCTCAGGGATCGTTTACACACCGCCGAAAGTTGTTTGGTTTCACGTTATTTCAACTTTCGGCGACACAACGGAGCGGAATCGGGTGTGTCAAACTGACCTTCAAGCCTAAATTCTACATTTTTGCGATTGCAAACAGGCACTTGCATGCAGAGAAGGGCTTTGGATGGCTGAGGCTGGATGACGTGGCTAGTTATTGATGTTACACTTACTGTAGATCAACATTTTCAATAAGCCTTACACACATTTTCCTTATGCAAGCCAATTTCCACATGTGATCTTCCCAACAAGCGATATAGCGAGCGACTCAGTGGAGGCGTTTATTCGACGTGTTGTTCCCTCCATACGACACCCATTTTCCGCTATCGCCGCCGCAACCTCCGCTCCACCATTCCACATCCATCACATCCGTAATCGTCGCCACCACTTCCGCTGTCACCATGTTCCGTTCGCTCAGTCGTCTAGCTAATCGATCTGGGGCCGTTCACCATGTAAGAAGGGACCACGGCCACCCCTAGCTTCAAACTCGACTTAGGTCTTTCCTCCGTCAAACTTTCGAGTCAGATACTTCTGTCCACTGGTGTTGGATCAGCAATCCGATTTTCCGTACAGCTTGTCCTTTCTGTGAATCTCGACCGCCTGTACGCCGTTGGATCTTGCTCAGCGAAACCTAAACGCATTGCTGCCTTCTCCTCCTCTCTCCATCCGTCTCGACGCTTCCTTCTCGTCCCTCTTTTCCAATGCGCTTCGCAGGCGATTCGATCCTTTGCCGCCGAGGCTGCCCCCGCTGATGTAAAGGTACGTGAGACGCCTGTCTTGTTGTTGGCGTGGGGGATGCAGGAATGGGGGAAGAGAGGGGGAAGGAGTGGTTGATGCTCCGCGTGGAGTGCGTCAGCTTCCCCTTTCCTTCTCGCCTGACCGACCACAACGCTCCCCTCTCACTCTTCCCCCTCACCTCTCCCTCCCCCCTACACCTCCCCTCCCCCGCGCACCTCGTCCGCGCGGCAGGTACCGACGGCGGTGTTCGGCGTGGCGGGCAAGTACGCGTCGGCGCTGTACGTGTCGGCGGTGCGCGGCGGGAAGGTGGACGCGGTGGAGCGCGAGATGCGCGAGCTGGCGGCCGTCACGGGCGCCAACCCCACCTTCGCGTCGTTCCTGCGCGACCCGTCGGTGTCGCGCGAGGTGCGCGTGAAGGCCGTGGAGGACATCTTCTCGCAGGCCAAGTACTCGCCCATCACCAAAAACTTCCTCGGTACGCCTTTGAGAGCGGTGGGTGGGGTGCGGCTGTGTTGAGGTGTGATAGTAGCGAGCAGGGAAGGCTGTGGAGGACATCTTTTTCCATGCCAGCTGCTCGGCCATCACCAATAACTCGCTCAGTGAGGGGGGCCGCCGGGTGGGTGGATTTGTGACGAATGTGATAACAGCGAGCTGGGAAGGCCACACCAACAGTATCCATACTGTCCTGCCATCCGCTCCATACCCAAATGGTGTTTCGCCTCCCCCCCCGCTTCCCTTCCCCCATTTTCCTCCCCAACCGCCCCTTGTCGTGCATGTGTGGGGCAGCTGTGCTGGCGGATGCGGGGAGGCTGTCGTACCTGCCCAAGATAGCGGCCACCTACGAGGACATTCTCATGGCCCACCGCGGCCAGGTCAAGGCCACCGTCACCGCTGCCCTCGTGAGTCCCCTCGCATCGCATGCTGCTTTCCCATTTCCACCAGCCACGTGCTGACCAGTTGGTGGCCTGCACGCTTCATAAGTCAATTGCACTCTCTGTTCTATGCCATTTCTTCCCCTCCCCAAACCCTCGCCGCTCACACCACTTCGCTCCGCCTCGCCCCTTCTCCACTCCCTTCTCCCCTCGCACTTCCCTCTCACCACCTCCCCGCCCCTTTCCGTCTTCCCAGGAGCTGACCCCAGCGGAGCTAGCGGAGGTGAGGGAGGCGCTGACGGGCATGCTGGAGGCGGGGCAGACGCTGCAGCTGCAGCAGCGGGTGGACCGCAGCATCATTGGCGGCGTGCTGGTGGACATCGGCGACAAGCACATCGACCTCTCCATCCGCTCCAAGATCCGCCGCATGGAAAAGGCCCTCCTCGAGTCCCTCTAAATGGGCTGGCTGCTGTGGGGGGGGTGCAGAGTGCAGGGTGTAGTTGTTTTGTAGGCAATGGCGTGTATGCACGTGAAGCGGAATATTTCTGTACCAGTGGAGAATTGGACCTGTACTAGCATACACTACTGAATACGGTACCTCTTCTCAAGGGCAATCTGCAGTGACCGTGTCTCAAGTGCCACGGCCATTCTCCATTGCACTCTATGTGCTCACTCTACAAGGCAGGTGTCTTTCTTGTACGATACCATGGAACATTGATCCGAAATTGGATGGCTTTCAAATCACACTGAGGTAACAACTGGAGACACGTTGCACACACCGGAGGAAAGCATTTGCACAAGAGAAGGGAAAAGTGACTGTCATGTCAAGGAAATGATACTTGATTTCTGGGGCCTTCAAAATATGGGGGTTTCAAAAAGCAGGCGTTGAACCTGACGTGAATCGAACACGCAACCTTCTGATCTGGAGTCAGACGCGCTACCATTGCGCCACAGATCCGTGCCAGCTGTCATTCGTTTTTTTAATTGTTTTATGTGCGTTTAGTATGCTTCAAGGTGACGCCATGGCAGCACAAGCGGGGGTTGAGCACCTTCGCTCGTGAATCCTGGCCGTCGAGAGCTCTCGTCACGAGTAACCTACCTCCCCAGCGAAATGTGCCTCAGCTCTCCAGTTCCGAGTTTGAAAGTTCAAACTTCAGCACCACACTGCAGCACGACAAAACGGATTCCAAGGCATGCGGCAACTTCAAGAAGCCTGTTTCGGCACACCACCATTCAGTTCCTTGTGCTCCGTTCTCAGGATTGAATATTCAGTCGAGTAGCGATTTATTGACTCAGAGTGTAAGGCGGCATAGCAGCACTTCTGATAGGCGACGATTGACAACTTATCGTGCTTATTTTGATTTATCGTTGTTTGTACCTGTTTCCGTCGCCATCGCCATGGCGTCGGAGTTAACTCCGAACGCGCTTGAGATTCTAAACTCTGGTGCGACGGATGGCAACTTCATCCTGCAAGTGTTCGACTCGCGACAGGTCGGGAGCGCATCCGTGCCGCCCGCGCAGGAGCGATACCGGCTGATGCTGTCGGACGGGCGGTGGCACCAGTGGGCCATGATCGCGTCGCAGATGAACGAGCTCATGCGCACCTCCGTTAAAAAGGGCTCCATTATAAATCTCACGGAGTGCGTCACCAACACTGTTCACGGGAAAAAGTAAGTCGGAAAAGCGAGATGAATGTATTGACAGCATCGCTGGTGCATGGCAAAGCAGTTGACGAGCTTTACAGCGACGTACAGCAGCCTACAACTACGACCATCCGTTATTGATTCTATTTATATTTCCTATCGCATTCCTGACATGTGTGTGCCACCCGTGTGCGTGCCATGCAGGATCGTAATCATTTTAAAGATGGAGGTGGTCAAGACCGACGCTCCCATCATCGGCGATCCACAGCCCTTCCCCGCCGACGGCCAGGCCCCGCCTCCGCGCCAGCAGCCGTCGTCAACCCCCGCCAGCACAATCACCAACAACTCCGCCGCCCCACCCCCGCAGCACCAGCCGCCGCCGCAGCAGCCGTCCAACACTCCCTCTATGGCGCAGCACGGCCCGCCGGGCGTTACTCATCCGCCCAATGCACCCCAGTCAGTCCCGCCCAACCCGTACGCCGCTGGTGGCTTCGGTCAGCAGCAGCAGCAACAACAGCAGCAGCAGAAACAGTCCCAGTATTCCGGGGGAAGTGGGCCTCCTGGCGGAGGTTCCGCCGCTAGTCACGGAGGAGGGTTCGCTGGCGGCCCAGGCGCAGGCGGCGGCGGGGGATACGGGGGAGGGGGCGGAGCAGCTCCGCCGCCGTCTTACTCCGCGCGCGGGCCCGTGGCGCGGAACGAGGCGCACGCGCGGGTGGTGCCGATTGACTCGCTGAACCCGTACCTGGGCAAGTGGACGATCAAGGCGCGCGTGACGTCCAAGGGCGACATCCGGCGGTACAACAACGCGCGCGGCGAGGGCAAGGTCTTCAGCTTCGACCTGCTCGACGCCGAGGGCGGCGAGATCCGCGTCACGTGCTTCAACCGCGAGGTCGACAGCTTCTTCGACAAGATCCAGGTGCGGCCCGCCGGGAGAGCACTAGGGTGAGCGCCAGGTAGCCGGGTGCCATAGCTGCCAGCGGAGCAACTGGTCGATGGCGATCAGCTTGGCAATCTCCGTTGACCTACGCGCCCTCTTTTCCCGTCCCGTGTATCACATTCCTCTGTGATCCTCTCCCGACTCTCTTTCTGACGTCCCGTTCCCTCCGTCCATCCTCCTTCCCTCCGTCCGTCCTGTCATGGAGCAGAAGGGGCAGGTGTACCTGCTGTCCAAGGGCAGTCTGAAGCCGGCGCAGCGCATGTACAACCACCTGCGCAGCGACTGGGAGATCATGCTGGACGCGTCCTCCACGCTCGACCTCTGCCCCGACGACGGCGCCATCGGCGCCATCCAGTACGACTTCCGCACCATCGCTGACGTGGCGGGCATGGAGAACAACAGCGTGGCGGACGTGCTGGGCGTGGTGGTGTCGGTGGGCGCGAGCGCGAGCATCATGCGGCGCAACGGCACCGAGACCATGAAGCGCACCTGCATGATCCGCGACCAGTCCGGGCGGCAGACGGAGCTCACCATGTGGGGCGGCTTCTGCAGCGCTGAGGGGCAGCAGCTGCAGGTCAGGCGCGCGTGGTTGGGCGTGATAGGGGGTGATGGGGGGTGATAGGGCGTGTGTGCGGGGGGGGGTTGGGGTGGGGGAGGGAGAATGATTTGGGGGTGATGGGGCGTCATAGGGGATGGGTTCATTCGCTGCAGGTGACGTGAGCATTGCGAGAGGAGTGATAACGAGCCTGTTGCCATCCAGAAATGAACTATACCCCCTCCCCCCCTTTCCCCCCCTTGCTGCTACCCGTCACCAGGAGCTGGTGGAAGCAGGGCAGCACCCGGTGCTGGCGATCAAGGCGGGGCGGGTGAGCGACTTCAGCGGCAAGTCGCTGGGCACCATATCGTCCACGCAGCTCGCCATCAACCCCGACATCCCCCAGGCCAAGGAGCTCGCCGCCTGGTACACCGCTGGGGGGGGCGCGTCCATGCCCGTGCAGGTCATCTCCTCCGAGTTTGGCGGGGCGGGCGGGGGCGGGACAGGCAGGGAGCCGCGCAAGATGATAGCGGCGATCAAGGACGAGGGGCTGGGGCTGGGCGGCAAGGTGGACTGGATCTCCGTGCGCGGCACCGTGTCGTACTTCCGTGCCGATAACTGCTACTACCCCGCGTGCCCGCTCACGACGGCCGAGGGGCGGCAGTGCCAGAAGAAGGTGGTACAGGACAGCAATGGCGACGGGTGGTACTGTGAGAAGTGCGGCCGCGCCACACCCACGTGTGACTTCCGGTACATTCTCAGCTTCCAGTTGCAGGACCACACCGGCATGACCTGGCTCTCCGCCTTCCAGGAAGTCTCCGAGGAGATGCTGAAGACGCCTGCATCGGAGATCAACAGGTGGCGCGAGGAGAACGACCTGCGGGCGGGGGAGGTGTTTGCCAACGCGCAGTGGAGCCAGTGGGTGCTGAAGCTCAAGGTGCGAGAGGAGACGTGGCAGGACGAGGCCAAGGTGAAGTGCACCGTGGTCAAGGCGGAGCCCGTCAACTATGCGGCTGAGAGCCGCGTGCTGCTGGATTACATTGGCCGGCTGCAGCGGGGAGAGCCACTCACTGCGCCTGTTCCGGCTTCCCCTGGGCTGTCTGCTGGTGTTGGGAGCATGCAGGTGGGCCGTGGGGGTGGTGCAGGTGGGGGGTATGCTGGCGGAGGAGGGGGATATGGGGGCGCTGCTGGTGGTGCTGGTGGCGGTGGTGGGTATAACAGCAGTGCTTATGGTGGTGGTGGTGGGGGAGGTGGTGGCTATGGTGGGGGTGGGGGAGGTTACGGTGGGGTTGGGGGGTTTGATGGTGGCAGTGGGGGCAGGGGTGGTGGGGGCGGTGGTGGAGGAGGGGGTGGGTCGTGCTTCAAGTGTGGGGGATCGGGCCACTGGGCGAGAGACTGTCCTGCTGGTGGTGCTGGTGGGGGCGCAGGTGGTGGGGGTGGTTACGGGGGTGGGGGTGGTGGTGGTTATGGTGGCGGTGGTGGCGGTGGGGGTGGGGGAGGGGGAGGGAGTGGTTCGTGTTTTAAGTGTGGGGGGTCAGGTCACTGGGCGCGAGACTGCCCTGGTGGTGGTGGTGGTGGTGGTGGTGGTGGTGGTGGCAGGGGAGGTGGATATGGTGGTGGAGGGTATGGTGCTGGCGGCTACTGAACAATGGGTACTGAAGGGTGGTTGCCGGGGGATGGCTGCAGAAGGATCACTACCGAACGAGATTCAGCATGTGCTTGATACCGATACTGTTTTGTTTTTGTTGCATTTCTTATGACGATTTAATTCCCTTGTATGTTTGGTTGAGTTTTTCAAAAGTTTTATGCTAACATGTGATTTGTGTGCTTAATAATTGATCAATTTAGCATCTACAGAGCCAATTCAAAGAAGTACCTCTGGTTGTCAGAAGAATCATTCCATTAATTTGGAGTGTTAGCTCAATCATTCTATTTTAAAGGTTAAGTGTTTCGTCCCCGTATATCTGAACAAATGAACATGGACCTGCTGTATGAAGCGCGAGAGCCAGTTTCCTATCGGGAAACGCTGTCAGTGTCAGAAATGCGCGGGAAATTTTGAACACCTCGGGACTGGCTCGCAGGTGCTGTGTACTTCCCATTGGCTCACCCACCTGGAGTCGCCCGGTAGCCTTTTGATAGGCCTCCTCTCCTCCCCTCACAGAAATGCAAGCCCGAGGTGGGGAATCCGTGCTGCAAATTCCTAGGTTCTTCTCCCTCAACATTGTCTTCGGCTGCTGATCTATCAAGCCAGTTCCTCAGCGACTCCACAGGTTCGCGCTGGTAATTTCTTTTAGGCTCTTCAGCCATTTTAAAGGGCTTTGCCTGGTCGTCCTCACGACGTTACCCTAGTCAAAGTCATATAGTTGCAATTGTTCCTATTTTATTTAGTAGTTTTGCCTTGTGGGCACGTCAGGTCAACTGCTTTGTTGACTCGCGCCGGTGAATTCGATCTTGGACACCTGACCGCTATAGTCCTCAGCGACGATTTTGAAAGAAATTGTAGAGTTTTGATAGAGACACGACAGGCCATATCTGTTGATAGCTTCCCGCTGCTTTAAAACTGAAGAGTGAGAAGACAATTAGGATTCAGAGTTCTCGTATTTCCACGACTAGCGATGGGGATTCCCGATGACCAAGCCGCCGGATCTAGCCCGCCTCCATCATCTGGAGCTGAGCGATCATCGCACGGCGGTCAGAGCAGGCTGATCATCACGGAGATGGTCCTCGAGAACTTCAAGTCGTACGCTGGGGTGCAGCGCGTAGGTCCGTTCCACAAGTGCTTCTCGTCGGTCGTCGGCCCCAATGGCAGCGGCAAGAGCAACGTGATTGACGCCATGCTCTTCGTCTTCGGGAAACGCGCGAAGCAGGTACGTCTGCTGCTTAATCCAACGACAATAACTCCCTGGTTTGCTATGACTATGCCAATCGTGCGTGAATTCCTTTCGTGCAGTTCGTAAAAGCTTTCTGAAAAATCTGGCATTCACGGAACTGACTAATTTGTTTACATCCATGGCATATCCTTGCAGCTGCGACTGAACAAGGTGTCGGAGCTGATTCACAACTCCACAGACCATCAGAATCTTGAGTCGGCCCGCGTATCCGTGCACTTCAAGGAGATAGTTGATTTGGTAAGTCCAGGCTCTAGCAGCATAGAAGCAGCAAGCGACGGCCGTATTCGAACTCTGCCATGACGGTTTTTTCATCATGCGACGGAATTCTCAGACGCTGCATTCTTGGCGTTTCAGGATGACGAGAAGTACGAGTCAGTGCCAGGTTCGGAGTTCGTTATATCGCGTACGGCGTACCGCAACAACACGTCCAAGTACCACGTGGACGACCACGCGAGCACGTTCACGGAGGTGACGAGGCTGCTCAAGGCCAAGGGCGTCGACCTCGACAACAACCGCTTCCTCATCCTGCAGGTGCGCGCCGCTGCCAAGCTAGTAAAGACAGCGGTAGACGCGCGATTAGCCTGAACTTTGGGACTATCAAAGCACTGTCTGCTGGCCCCGTGGGTGTTAGAGTTCCCCTGATCCTGTTAGTACTTGTCAGTTGCCAGATTTATTCCCGCGCTCGTTCACTTGTCATCGTTGATAAAGACGTTCGTTCCCATTGCTCGTATCCGCGGCGCAGGGCGAGGTGGAGCAGATCGCGATGATGAAGCCCAAGGCGCAGGGCCCGCACGACGAGGGGCTGCTGGAGTACCTGGAGGACATCATCGGCTCCAACCAGTACATCGAACAGATCGACAAGGGCGCCAAACAGTGAGCTCCCTCCACTGCCTACCTGCCTCCCTGCCTCTCATGCTTCGCCCGGCCGGTCGTTCTTGAGCGGTGTTGCTTGTTGGAATGGGAAATCGTGCGGTTTGGCTGTGGCAATGCGCCGACGGTTGTTGACTCGCGTGTGTGGTGCGGGTGTGGCGGCGTGTGCAGGCTGGAGGAGCTGAACGAGCGGCGGGTGGGGCTGGTGGAGCGAGTGAAGCACGCGGAGAAGGACAAGGACACGCTCGAGGTCAGAGTGGTGGCTGCTGCGGGGAGGTTAGGGGTGTATGGTGAATGCTGTAGGGGAACGAGAGGGAGATTGAGAAACATGTCTTGTTCTGCGTTTGCTGGTTGGAAGAGCCATGATGTCATGCGCTACCATCCTGCACTGTGTCCTCAACGCGCGATGCCCTCGTGCCCTCCCGCTAACCGTTTGCTCCCTCCCTGCCTGACCCCCTTTATGCGCGCTGTGCGGCAGGAGGCGAAGCGGGCGGCGGAGGCGTACATGGTGAAGGAGGCGCAGTGCGCGCAGTGGGCCATGGTGGGGCGCGCGATGGGGCTGCGGGAGTCGCAGGGCAAGGCGGGCGCGCTGGGCGCCAAGGTGGCGGAGCTGGAGGGCACGCTGGCCGCTGAGAAGTGAGTGGGGGGGTTGATGGGGCGAAGAGCTGCACGAAATGAAGAGGGTAGGCCGTAGGAAGGGGTAAAGGAATCGCAGAGGAAGGAAGGTCAGAGGACCAGCGTGGGGAAGTGGGATGGGGAGTGGGATACGCACGGGAGAAATGTGAAGCGGGTGAGTGTGCTCGTGTACGTTGACCAGGATTCATGTGCCTCCATCTCCGTGCGTGCGTGCAGGGAGAAGTGCTCCGGGCTGCGGGAGGAGCTGCAGGTGAAGACAGACGCGTGCGACAAGTGCAACACGGAGTATGAGGTGAGCCAAACGGAGGGACGACAGCAGTGAGGGGTCGTTCGCGAGGGGTGGAGCGGGCGTGTGTGGTTGGATCCCCAACGAACTGTGGGGAGAGAGCGAAAGGGTTGAACAGGAAGGACGGCTGAGGTGTTTGCTTGTCAGCTGTAGAGACCCGCGAGTTCACTGCGTGGCAAGCGACGCATTGCATCTTTCACCTTTCACCAGCGTGACTCCATGTGTTCCACTGCACTGCACTGCACTGCACGGCGTGGCAGGCGCTGTGCGGCGAGCTGGAGGCGGCGAGGGCGGACTTCAAGGAGTACGAGCGCAAGGACGTGAAGATGCGCGAAGACCTCAAACACTGCAAGGCGCGCCTCAAGAAGCTCGCCGATAAGATCGCCAAGGTGAGCTTCGCACCTCCACGCATGTGCCAGACGTTCAGTAACCGCCAAGATCACAGGCTGTTGCCTAGGGCGTCATTTCACGACCTGGGTGGGATTGTACTGCTGCTTCTCGCTTGAGCTTGCGTGAGCCTCTCGCCTTTCTTACAGAAGTGTTTCCGTGTTGAACTGAACAGGACACGGCCAAGGCGGAGGAGGTGGAGAAGGCAGCGGCGGAGGCGGAAACGGCCATCCCCGAGTTGGAGAAGAAGGCAGCCGCGCTGGCGCCTCGGCTGGTGGAGGCGGAGAAGAAGCTGGAGAGCATCCAGGAGCAGGTCCGAGGTGAGCCGCCGTGAGTCTCATGTTCCCTCCTCTCCGTTCCCCCAGCAGCCCCTGTGACTAACAACAACTTATCTGAACTTACCTTTGTGATGTGTGTGGCAGTGGAGGTGGAGCGGCAGCAGCAGCAGCTGGGCCCGCTGCAGGAGCAGCTGGCGCCGTGGGAGGAGAAGGCGAGCGCCGCCAAGGCCAAGGCGGACGTGACGCGCACGAAGCTGAGCCTCATCCGCGACAAGCACGCCGCCGCTGAGAAGCAGCTGGAGGCGGTGCGCAAGGCCATAGAGGAGCGCGAGGAGGGGCGGAAGCAGAAGCCGGAGCAGCTGAAGCGCATGGAGGCGGCCGTGAGGGAGAGCGAGGCGGTGGTGGCCGCTAGCGCCAAGGAGGAGGAGACCAAGGCGGAGGAGGAGGCAGCTGCGCGCGCAGAGGCGGAGGCTGCACAGGGGCGCGCGGCGGAGATGAGGGAGGCGGCAGCGGCGCAGCGCAGCAGCAGCGCCATCCTGACGGCGCTGATGCAGGCGAAGCGGGACGGCAGCATCCCCGGCATCTACGGCCGCCTGGGCGACCTGGGCGCCATTGACGGTGAGGCGCTTCAAGGGGGACAAGTGGGGGAGTAAGGGCATGATTTGGTGATATCAAGAGCGTTTTCGCATGCTGGAGTAGATGGTGGTATGCTTTTCAAATGTGTCCTCATCAACCCCTGTCTCGCGCTCACCGCTCACCTTGCGTTCTCGCTTATGCGCGGCATGGCATGCTATGTGCAGGCAAGTACGACGTGGCGATATCAACGGCGTGCGGTGCACTGGAGTACATAGTGGTGGACAACATCGAGACCGCACAGGCCTGCACGGCGCTGCTCAGGGAGCAGCAGCTGGGCGTGCAGACCTTCCTCGCCCTGGTACACCCCCCTGCGCCTTGTTGGTTCCTTGCTCGTTGCCTTCCCGTCCTATGTGCTGTGCAATTCCCGCAGTTTCTGAGCTCTCTCTTTCAAATTACCGCCACTGCAACATTTCTGCTCGCCCTCCATCCCGCTTCCACACAGTCGTTTCTCACTCATTTTCCCTCCGCCACTCCTCTCTTTAACCCCCCCAACCCCCTCTCCGCTCCCACCATGCGTCAGGACAAGCAGCAGCACCTGGTGCGGGACATGTCTGAGAAGGTCAACACGCCGGAGGGAGTGCCACGGCTGTTCGACCTGGTGCAGGTGCAGGACGCGCGCCTGCTGCCCGCCTTCTGGTTCGCCCTGCGCAACACGCTCGTCGCCTCCTCCCTCGACCAGGCCTCGCGCATCGCGTACGGCGCGGACGCGCGGTTCAGGCGGGTGGTGACGGTGGCGGGCGAGATGTTCGAGTCCAGCGGCACCATGGCGGGCGGCGGGGGGCGCCCCCGCGGCGGCCGCATGGGCAGCTCGCTGAAGGCGGCGGCGGCGGCGGCAGGCGGGGGGGTGACGCGGGAGATGGTGGAGGAGGCGGAGAGGGAGGTGGCGCACGCGGTGGCGCAGCTGGAGCGAGTGAGGGAGGAGAGGCGCGCGGCTGTGGCGAGAAGAGAGGAGGCGGAGAGGGTGTTGAAGCGGCTGGGAATGGACATTCCCAAGGTCCAGATGGAGGTGCGCAGCAGGGGCGGGGAGGGAACTAGCTGGGTAACCGCTTATGTTTGACACCGTCTCCCTTTGATGCTCTTGGATGTTGCACTGCTCACAGTTCACGCCTCTCACGCATGTCACTCTCTCCCTCGTTCTCTCTCCCGTCCCGGGCAGATTGAGTCGCTGGCAGCGCAGGTGGGCGAGCTTAGGCAGCGCGTGCAGGGGCTGCAGGCAGCGGCCGTGGCGAGTGCGGAGGAGGAGAGGCAGATGGGCGCGCTGCAGCAGCAGCTGGCGGACGAGGAGGGCGAGGAGGCGCGCATTGGGGAGGAGATGGCGCCGCTGGTGGCGGCGGTGGCGCGCGTGCAGCAGGCCATCGCTGATGCCGGCAGGGAGGCGCTGGGCCAACAGAAGGACCACGTGGCCGCCATCCAAAAGGTGGGGCGTGGGGTCGTAGGGGCGAGCTGCAATGAAATGAGTGATGAGTGCTGGGGGTGGCAAGGGGATGAGCAACTGGGAATGAAGGTCTTGCGAGGGCACTGGGTCACATGTGCCAGGGTTGATTGCGTATGCATGTCAACCATACTATACACAACCCAGCCGTGCTTAGCCGCAGGGAACACAGATGAGTGGAACCTGTCCATTCACCATTCCCCTATGATGTGCTGTCACAGGCCATTGACGAGGCGCAGACGGGCATCAACCAGAGCCGAGTGACAGTGGCCTCAAGTGGCCGCAACCTGGAGAAGCTGAGGAAGGCGGTGGGGGAGGCGGAGGAGGAGAAGGCGAGGGCGGAGGAGGAGATGACACGGAAGAAGGAGGAGATGAACGCCGTCATGCAGGAGGCCTTCGCTGTCAACGACAACTACGAACGCCTCCGCCAGGTGCGCTGAAGAGCGGGGTAAAGGAATGGCCTCTCGCAAAACGTTCTTTGTCCCCTCACCTCCACTTTTCCCTCTTTCCTTCATAATTTTCTAAATCTGTTTCCATCCTTCTCTTCCTCGTCTACCTGTGCTGGCATGGCATGTGGTGGGGGCAGTTGGTGGAGGGCAAGAAGGAGGAGTATGGCGGCATGAAGAAGGAGTTCCTGGCCATCAAGGCACAGCTCGACAAGATACGCACCGGGGAGGTGAGATGCGCACCGGGGAGGTGAGATGCGCACCGGGGAGGTGAGATGCGCACTGGGGAGGTGAGATGCGCACTGGGGAGGTGAGAGGAACAGACAGCAGGTGAGACGGGTTGAATTTGAGTGGAGTACTCTTATCGAGCATTACCTTTTTCTGGGGTCCCTTCTTCTCCACATCCTCTGACATCACTTCTCGTGCCCTCAGGTGGACGTGGAATTGAAGCTGGAAGATGCGAGGAAGGCGCTGAGGACGAGTCAGGAGACTGCTCGCCTGCAGAGGGAGAAGCTGAGGTCGCTGGGAGCGCAGCTCAGGCAGCACATCGCTCAGTGAGTCCATCGCACAGCTCCGTGCTGCAGCTGCCTCTTACAGCACACACTAGTGCACCTTCACACGATCCCGAAGCCTCTTCTGTACAAGGCCCAAACCCATCCCCTCATCTCTCCTGTGCCCACCATCCGTCCGTGCCCTTTCCAGGATGCAAGCGGAGGGCATTGCAGAGGAGGACGTGGAGGCTGCAGGGCTGCCATGGGACCTTCAGGAAGAGGATGGGGAGAGACAGGGCAGGGCACGACCAGCAGCAGCAGGCGCAGCAGAAAGAGGAGGAGGGGAGGATGAGGAGATGGAGGAGGATGAAGATGCAGAGCAGAGGGAGGGAGGTGCGGGTGAGACAGGGACGGAAGATGAGGGAGACGGTGAGGTGGAGAGGCTTCTGGGTCGCCTGTGTGGTAACCTTGTCCGTGCGGTTACCAGTCGGGAGGAGGCGGCAGCAGGGGAGCAGCGGCTGCGAGCAGAGTTGGAGGCACTCAAGGGGAACGTCAACCTGAGCTCCATGGCCGAGTGAGTGCGCTGCCTGCTGCCACTGGATGGCTCTCGTTCATGAACGTATGTGAGTGGCAGGAGTGTCTAGATGAGTAGCAAAGAATCAGTGTGAGCAGTAGTGGGTGTGTGAGCATGGTCTAAACCTTTTACCATCTGCTTCTACCTTGGACCTTCTCTGTGGGTGCGCGGTGCAGGTACCGCAAGAAGGAGGCGGTGTACGCGCAGAGGCTGGGCGAGCTGGAGGCAGTGACAGCGGAGCGTGACAGCGTGCGCGTGGCGCAGGAGGAGGTGAAGCGGCGGCGGCTGGAGGAGTTCATGGCGGGGTTTGACGCCATCACAATGCGGCTCAAGGAGATGTACCAGATGATAACACTGGGCGGCGACGCTGAGCTGGAGCTGGTGGACTCACTCGACCCGTTCAGCGAGGGCATTGTGTTCTCCGTGCGCCCGCCCAAGAAGAGCTGGAAGAACATCTGCAACCTCTCGGGCGGGGAGAAGGTACGGCGCTGCCTGCTTCCCTGGATCGGGGTGCTAATGCTTCCGGCAAGGCGCCAGGCATCGCCCTGTGCCGATGCGCTTGTGCTTTACAGTGCCGCAGTGCCATGGCATTAACGGCTTTTTAAACTGCCCGACTCCTTACCGTCTTGCTGTGCTTATCCCACTGCTGCAGACCCTGAGCTCGCTGGCGCTGGTGTTCGCCCTGCACCACTACAAGCCCACGCCCCTCTACGTCATGGATGAGATCGACGCCGCTCTTGGTGAGTCCCACACGGGCCTTGAGTGCTGCCTTCGGTGTACAGTGAGAGAATGAACGGGGGAATGATTGGAAGCATATAGCACAAGAGAATGGGAAAGGTCAAAAGAGCATGGTGAAACCAAGCAATGCGAAATTGCGTCCTGTCATGCTTCCTGCAATGCACCTTCGTGGTTGGGCACGAGAAAATGTTCATGTGCTGCTGTGTGTGTGGCTCTTGGTCTGTGCCGTGCAGACTTCAAGAACGTGTCTATAGTGGCGCATTACATCAAGGAGCGCACTAAGAACGCCCAGTTTGTCATCATCAGGTGTGATTCACGCATTGTGCCTCATCGCGCTTCTCCCTGGGTTCCAATCGTATGCCTCCCTGCATTCGTGAAGGATTTCCCTATTGCATATTTTGTTTTCATGGTATCACTCCTCAATACTGTCTGACGTGTGTCTCTTCCTTGTTCCACAGCTTGCGCAACAACATGTTTGAGCTGGCAGACCATCTTGTTGGGATATACAAGACACACAACTGCACCAAGAGCATCACCATCAACCCACGTAGCTTTGCAGTCGCGGCTGCTCCTACAGCGGCAGCTGCTCCAACTGCTGCGACCTAATAGATATACATAAGAACTGTTCCAGAAACTATTATATTTACATGATATTTGTGATTCCCTCCGTTACAACAAATATGCGAGCGATATGTATGATACGGTAGTCCAATTATGGAATGTTTTTTGCACCTTATACGTTGCCCCCTGTCTAGCAACATATTGAGGTTGCACGTTATTTGTTGCTCAATATTTAGCAACATAACGAGGTAATAAAGCGAATGAATCTCCCGCGACCAGCAGCATTCACGAAAAGAAGCACCTTGTTCATTCGTGAGCATCTCTGTGCTTCACTTCTGCTATTGTCGATTTCATTCCTCTTCGCCGTCGTGTGCTGTGTGCTTAGCAACTCCAAGGCGCATTTACGCCTTCTCCTTGAGTCGTATTCCTATCTTCTTATGACATTTAGTTATCCATGAGAATCGGAATATTGTGCCAGGCCATAGTTCGGACGTCCGTTTCGGATCTACCTGGTTAGTCGGGTTAGGGATCTTCCATTTCGTTTGTCCGCCGACTGTTTCATCTTTCATCATATCTTGGCGGGTTTTGTACCAGCTGCTCCGGTTTTCGCTCTCTTCGCCTATAGTCGTAGGCGCGACCATGGCTTCTGAGGATCTGCCTCGTGGATCCGTAGCCGTCATGTCGGAGGTGGAGGTCATGTTCGCTTTCCTTGCCTACGCCGTTCCAGTAGTGGCGATGATCTCGTACCACAAACGCAGGTATGAACACAAACTTTCACTCTCATGCAGATTCTGACTTGATCTCACACCGAATGCAGGATTTGATTGATGATGAGCAATAACCTTACGTATCAATTCTTAACACAAAGCAGGCAATGACTTGGTTATTATGTACGCAACTATCACCAAGTTATTCGTACTGCTAACACAGGTGAAGACATAACCAGGTTATGGCATGGTTGAGTTGTGGTCATATTTGCAGGCATTGACGTTGACATATTTATTCACCTCAGTTTTAGAAGCACCTGTGCTATGATAGCGGGTACGGGTATATTCCGTTCACTCTAACACAATTGCACTGACGTAATTAATACACAAACTCTGGTATTGACATGACTTCTTAGTGGTGACGCAGGTGTGAACTTGATTTTTTACTACAAATCCAGGTGCTGCTGCGAGTGTAACAGAGGCGCTGATATCATGTGAATAATACAAAGAAGGATCAACTGCTTTTGAATGCTGGCTCTGACATGTTTTTACCGTAATAGCATTTTGGAAGTGCTGTAGTTATGACAACAAATGCAGGTACAACCCTTTCAGGCACTTCTCTGCTTAAATCCCTTATTTAACTCTCGACCTCTCTTTCCTCTACCACGTTTCCCCGGTCATGCCAGCACCCAGTGGTACCATAACCACATGGCTGCAGCATTCGGTCCTGACTGGAGAAACCACTCTCCAGTGGCTGGTCTGCGAGCAGCCAATGAGGAGGCAACACAAAGCAAGAGGCTCCCCACCTTGCCGGAGCACCCAGAGGAAGAGCAAGAGGAGAAAGAGCAACAGGAGAGCGCAGGGGAGGGAGAAGGGGGCGAGAAGAAATCTGGCAAAGGAGAAATGGGAGAAGAGAAGGAGCAGCAGCAAAAATCCCAAGAGGGGATGAAGGGGGAACAGCTGGAGAAGGAGAAAGAAAAGGTTAAGGCAGGCCAGAGAGATCAGCGAGCGAGCCACAGGTCACTTTTCAACATGCGGAATCTGAGCAGTCCTACTGTCTTCCTTCCTGCCATTATTGCCCTCCTGATGGCCGTGCCTCTTGGCCTTGGGAGTGGGTTGATTGGCTTCATGCATGGAGTGGTTTTGGGCCCACAGGAGGCCATCACTTCTGCGCTGTATGGTGTAGCTGCTGGAGCACTGTATCCATTTCATCTGCTTGGGTTGCTCAGAGACCAAAAGCATGCACATCAAGATTAGGAGCCATGTGTTGTTTGTTGCCTTGTTTCACTCTGATAAGGCGTCCTAGCAGACGGGATAGGTAGGCTAGTAGTGCCTTCTACATACTGCATCAAATCTGTGGCTCCTGTTTTCTGATTGTTCTGCCCCACATGTGAATAAAATGGCGAAGGGAGCCAAAAACAGAATGTGTCAGATATTACGTTGGTACTGGTACTAGGTAAGGTTTACACTTTAGGGGTATTATTTAGCAGGCTGAACAGGGAATCTGAGAGGGAGAACCCAAGGCACTTGGCCATGTCCTTGACCCTAACGTCAGGCCGAGGATCCCCTCTGGCAACCAGCCATGCATGGATGATGAAGGCCTTGTTCATGGTCCATAGCTCCACAGCCTCTGGATTGAACACCAAACCCATGCGCTTGCTCATCTGGTGGAGGCAGGCAAGTTGGGAGGATGGAGAGTATAAGGATGTGTGGAAGAGTGGGAAGAGAGCAGGGGGGCAGCCTATGGCCCAAGAGTCAGAATTGGCTCATATGGGGGGTGTGGCATGATTCCCACCTGATGCGGCACCAGCATTGCAGCATACCGTCCCAGCTCTCCCGCTCGCCAGTCCAGCACTGCTGGCAACCACGGATAGGCGGCATCCAGACGGACGAACCACAGGCGGACATCTGGCAGCTCGGACAGTTCCCGAGGGTCAATGGGGTCGTCTCTTTCGTATTTGATGGTGAAGCCCAGGCGGCGAGTGAGGAGAGGCGATGGGTCGGAGAGGGGAGGGGACGTGTTGTCGCCTATCTGTGCGACGAATGGTCGCAGGACCTGGTGTGCGACGGTGAGATCAAGGCTGCGAATCATCTCCTTGGTCACGTGAATCTCGAACCGGTCCTCCGTTGGGGGTGGGGGTGGCGTGATGTTGGACTCTGGATCTGAGAGGCGATGAGGAAGCGATGGAAGTTAAGAAGAAGGATGAGGCAGCCAAAAAACGACGAAACCTAGACGAATGAAAGGAAGCAGCGAGAGGATCACACCACTCACCGTTCAATTCGTCTTCAAGGCTAAAGCTTAGGTCTTTCGAAGGGTCGTACACGGCTGCTCTCGTGCTCGGCCGTGCATGACCGCAACGACAGTTGTGTCTATCATTATGAGTTTGTCTGGCAGTACCGCGGGCTGATCTCATTGCCGTGCAGAAAATGCCTACGCAACGGGTGCTAACGGTCACATTTCTCACTGAAACGGGGGCCTTGAGGAGCTCGTCGAGAAATATGGAACGAGGAGCAAATACAGATATGTCTGAACGCCTCGATTGCACATTAACGGAAGGAAGAGCGCGACGATCAATCAAGCTATTCGTCTGAACGAGACACCTCGTCGCCGCCATTGTGCTGCAGAGTGTTAAGGACTCAGGCCTAACACGACTGCCCCAGTCGAATAAGTCGGTTTTGATCAGTCAGCTTCGTTCACTATTGAACTGAAGCTCATACATTCACCCTAATTGCTACTGTGCCTGACAGTGCATGCACGGAACAGCAGCGAGCGGGTGGCAGCTCGGGGAACAGACGCCAGGGAGATGTGTAACTCGGATCGATGTGGCAGCACGTCTGTGGCTGGAGATTCTCGAGGTGCCTCAGGGGAACCGACCTGCTTTCGCTGAATTCCAGATCGGACCACAAGGAAGTCAATTCGCTAACTCTGGTTACACTCTCCGTCACAGCATTTCCTCGCGAAAGCCCATCTGTTTCTGAGAAAAAGTGCAGAGCAACTGACATGTCAGCGCGCGGGGGGGAGTGCTGTGCTGGTTGCACTGCGCGCAAACACCTGAACCGAAAAGCTGTAAATATCTCAACCAACACATGATCGCCACCGCAAGGCCAGATCAATCAAACCCAAACCATTTTTCTGCATTGCAGCTTCTCCTCAGCAATTCAGGAATCCATCAGGCGTGGTATAGTAGCTAAAGGCGTGACATTCTTTGTGCTTCCACCTGAATCTGGACTTACCAAGTTTCAGCATAGGATAGTCGACGCAATTGATGACTAAGGTCGATCGGCCCGGAACCAGCCACTTCTAAGGTCGACATTAGCGTTGTAATCTCGCGAATTCAGCCTGGCCGAAGCTTTCCTGATGCATGTTGGTTACAACTATCAGCTTCTCGACAACGGTTTGCACGGCGCGTTCACCGGTCATGATGGCGAACGCGATTTCTCTCACTCAGCCAAGCCTTCGGCCTCCAGCAGCGGGGGTGGTGCATCCATACCGCCGTATCCACGACACTGATCCTTCAGGTCCTCCGCCTCGCAATAATGCAGGCTTCCCATACTTGGGAATTCTTAACACGAATAAGCGGCTCATGTTTATAACGCGTACGGAATCACATTCATCTGGCTCAGTGTTAGTCGCGGCCAGAAGCAGCCATTGTTTAAGCCGATCAGCTCTGGTACTACCCTCCACCCGGCTCACCACCCCAACCACCCTGGCTACTGCACCGCTCTCAACCCATCACAGTCTCAGGCTGAGTCAACAGCCATCGGCGCGCCTCACTGGCCGCATGTACCACGAGCTCACCTGTCGCCAGGCTTTTCTCTCCCCCCGCAAAACCCTCTTCTCCTCAACTTTCCTTCCCTCTCCCTGCCAACCGTCGCTGCAACCACGCCTGCTCTCCGACTGTTCCTGCTGTGTTCCCCACAACCCCCACCCATCCTCCGCTAGAGCGTCCGCCTCCTCCTTCTCTCAAAACGGCGCCTCTTCTTATCCGCCTTACCAGCAACCCCCGTACCGCCACCAACAACCCTCTTTCCCACCACCCCTCTCCTACCCGCCTCCGTTCCCCACCCCATCACCTTACCCTCACACCCTCCCGCTACCGTCACACTCGTTTCAACCGCAAGCGGCGTCGGCAGCATGTCCGCCCGGCGTGGCCGTGTTCTGGGACTACGAGAACTGCCCCGTGCCCGTCGGCGCCGACTGCGCTGCGCTCGTGCGCCGCCTGCGCGACTTGGCGCGCGCGTTCGGCGCGGTGCGGAGCGTGCGCGCGTACGGGAAGCCGGAGGAGGTGCATGCGCGCATGGTGGGGAAGATGGGCGCGTGCGGCGTGGAGGTGGTGGCGGTGGCGGCGGGCAAGGAGATGGCGGACAAGGCCATCATCACGGACGCGCTGCTCTTCGCCCTCGACGAACGAGAGATGAACCGGTGAGGTCACTCGGGTGGCGAGGGGGGTAGCGGCGGATGTAGAGGCGAGTGCAGCTCTCTGAACAGTCGTCCCTCCCTTGTCTGCATCCCTCACGTCATTCTTCCGTCCTGCCCCTTCTCTTGCATTCCTGCACCTCCTTGGCACGCCTGCCGCCCTGCAGAGCTGTGACGCCGTGCGTGGTGGTGGTATCAGGCGACGTGGGGTTCGCGGGTGTGCTGGCGAAGCTCACCAACCGCGGCGTCACCACCGTGCTGCTCGCGCGCCCGCGCAAGAACGGCAGCAAGGGCAAGCGCGGCACCATCCCCGCGCCCCTCGCGCAGTCGGCGATGGTGACTCTTGACTGGGACCAGCTCATCGCCGCGGGGGACAGCGGTGCCGCCGGGGAGAACGGGTGGAGGAGCGGCAAAGCGGGCGACGATGGTGGTGTTGCTGATGCGGGGAATGGGGGTGCTGCTGCTGCAGTTGCGCGCGGTAGCAGCATCTTTGGTAGCAGCAACAGCAGTGCTGGTGGTGGTGGTGTGAACGGCAGTGGCAGCAGTGCAGTAGATTCGTTTAGTGCTATCCGCAGCGGCAGTGGCAGCAGCGGTAGTGCTGGGGTCTCCACCTCAGGCAATGGCAGCCTCAACGGCAATGGCAGCGCCAACGGCAGTGCCCTTAGTAGTGGCAGCAGCAGCACCGGTGCTGGTGGGACGTCAGGCAGGGAGGGGACGGAGACGATAGGGGGTGGGAGGGAGGGCGAGGAGGAGGTGCAGCAGCGGCTGCGATGGCTGGAGGAGCGCCTGCGCCACGTGGAGAGGGGCTCGGCGAGTGGTGGGAGGGACAGCACGACCAGCAGTAGTAGCGCGTGTGATGGGGCGAGTGAAGCAGCAGGTGACGCAGGTCAAGACATGACCCCCGCAGGCAGCGCCCAAGCTGTACCGCCGCCGGAGCTCAAGGCAGGTGAGGCAGCGCCGTCCCACGCAGAGGCAGGAGGGGCTCCGCGCAGGGAGTCGTGGGCGGAGGTGATGGCGCGCGCCCTGCCCGTGCGCTCGCCCGCGGATGTGCTGACAGCGCGCCTGCGCGCCCACATGCTTACCACGCTCGCCGCCCACGGCGCTGTGACCACGTCCGCCCTGTTCGTGGCGTACCAGCGCGTGTGGGGGCGCCAGCTGCGCCTGGCGGACTACGCGCTGCGCGACGTGAAGGCGCTGGTGGCGCTGCTGGCGGACGTGGTGGCGGTGAGCGAGGGGTGGCCGGGGCAGGCGGCGCGCAAGAAGATGAGCGTGGAGGCACGCGAGGCCATGGCGCGGCGAAGAACCTTCTCCCTCGTGCGCTCGCACGGCAACCTGCGCGCGCTGGCGCTGGTGCAGTCACGGCTGCGCTGCGTGGTGGTGGCTGTGCTGCAGCAGCACGTGGCCCGCGCGGATGCCGCCTATGCTGCTGCTCGCTCTGCACGGGGCAGCAGGAGTGGGGACGGCGTGGGGTTGAGTGAAGGCAGCACTAGTGGCAAGGATGGGAGCAGCAGGAGCGATACAAATGGCAGTGCGAGTGTCATCAGCAGCGGCGGCAGCGGTGGCACAAGGGGTAATGCACGCGACAGGAGGGCGAGCCGGTGGATGGTGGTGGAGGAGGTGGGCGCGGCGGTGAGGCACGCGTGCAAGGAGAGGCTGGGCGCGGTGCTGGCCCGGCACGGGTACGGGCGAGACGCCTTCTGCAACGTGTCTGAGAAGGCGCGGCTGGTGGCGGTGCTGGCTGACATGCCCGACCTCGTGCGCCTCAAGAAGCTGCGAGGCGCGGGGGGCGTGGTGCTGGTGGGACTGGTGGCGGGCGCTGAGGCGGACCCCCTCGTGGCGCAGTGGGCCGAGCGGAACGAGGGGCTGTGGGATGGGCGCGTGTACTCATGGCAGGACAGCCGTGGAGAAGGGGATGATGAGCTGGATGAGGGGAAGGAGAGCGATGAAGAGGAGGAAGAGGACAAGGAGAAGGAGGAAGCGGATATTGGGAGGTGGGTGGTAAGGGAGGCTGTGAGGAAAGGAGGCGAGCGGGGCATGTTGGGTGATGGAAGTGAGGGCGATTGGAGTGAGGAGGGGAGTGATGGAGAGGAAGGGGAGGAAGAGGAGGAAGAGGACGAAGAGGAGGAAGAGGATGAGTGGTGGGAAGATGATGAGGAGGAAGAGGAGGAAGAGGAGGAAGAGGAAGAGGAAGAGGAGGAGGAAGAGGAGGAGGAAGATGAGGAGGAAGAGGAGGAAGGAGAGGAGGAGGAATATGAGGAGGAGGACGAGTATGGGTTTCTGGCAACAAGGGATATGTACGAGGAAGAGGAAGAAGAGCACTCATGGCAGGGCAGGGAGGCGACGGAGGGCAGGGGGGACAGGGAGGGCAAGGAGAGCAGGAAGGGCAGGGAGGGCGGGGTGCAAGTAGCAGGTGGGGGGCGCATGGGGGAGGATGGTGGCGTGGTGGGTGGGCGTGGCAGCGCATACAGTGAATGGGGCGAGAAGGCGGAGGGCGAGAGCGCGCAAGAGCAGGGCAGCAGCGCGGGCGTAGGGGCGGAGCAGGCACATGGAGCCTCGTTTGCGCGTGGCGAGTGCAGAGCAGGGGCAGCAGGCGGTGGGGGTGTGGAGGGATACCGTGTGGTGGCAGGGTGGCAGGAGTGGCAGGGCGAGGAGGGCGAGGAGTATGCATACTATGCGGGATATGACAGCCATGAGAGTGAGGGGGAGGGGGATGGAGATGCTCGTATGAATGGTGCACTGCATGCGCTGTATCACCCGCCTCTCATTGCGCCCGTGGATGCTGCACCGTCACCTTCACCTGCACCGTCACCTTCACCTGCACCGTCACCTTCACCTGCACCGTCACCTTCACCTGCAGTGTCACCTTCACCTGCACCGTCACCTTCACCTGCAGTGTCACCTTCACCTGCACCGTCACCTTCACCTGCAGTGTCACCTTCACCTGCAGTGTCACCTTCACCTGCACCGTCACCTTCACCTGCAGTGTCACCTTCACCTGCAGTGTCACCTTCACCTGCACCGTCACCTTCACCTGCAGTGTCACCTTCACCTGCACCGTCACCTTCACCTGCAGTGTCACCTTCACCTGCACCGTCACCTTCACCTGCAGTGTCACCTTCACCTGCAGTGTCACCTTCACCTGCAGTGTCACCTTCACCTGCACCGTCACCTTCACCTGCAGTGTCACCTTCACCTGCAGTGTCACCTTCACCTGCACCGTCACCTTCACCTGCAGTGTCACCTTCACCTGCACCGTCACCTTCACCTGCAGTGTCACCTTCATCTGCACCGTCACCTTCACCTGCAGTGTCACCTTCACCTGCAGTGTCACCTTCACCTGCACCTTCACCTGCCCCTTCACCTGTCCCTTCACCTGCCCCTTCACCTCCCCCTTCACCTGCCCCTTCACCTGCCCCTTCACCTGCCCCTTCACCTGCCCCTTCACCTGCCCCTTCAGCTGTCTCTACAGCTGCCCCTTCAGGTGCGGTGCCCCATGGTGGTGCTCATGCTGCTGCACCTCCTGCGAGCAAGGCTGATGATGTTTCTGCGGAAGCACCCCTTCCCACTCCTGCATTTTCTCTTACTCCTGCTCCTGCTCTCACTACTCCTACCACTGCTGCTGCTGATGATGCTTCTGTCTTCGCTGCTACTACCGCTGCTGTGCCTGCACTTGCCTTGGTCGGTGGGAAGGACAATGAGCACCAGGGCAGCAGCAACGGAGGGCAGCGGGCTGACGGTGTGCCCACAGCCGTGCAGTCCGCCCCGCGCCTTGCTCGCCTTGCTCGCCACCCACCCCACCCGCCTGCTGCCTCTGAGCTCGCCCAGGGGGACGTGGGTCAACTGTTGCAGCACCACGCACACCCCGCTCCCCTGCACAAGCCAGACTGCCATGCCCAACACTCCCCAGGTGCTGCCCACACCACAGCGTCCCACGACCCGCTGTGGCCCGCCGTGTTTGCCTCCTCGTGTGCCCTGCGCTCGCCCCTCGAGCTCGCCCTCCTGCGCTTCTCCCTCCGCACTCTCACTCTCCTCGCCGCGCGCGGCCCGCTCCCTCTGGCCGGCATGGCTCGGGAGTTTGTGCAGCGCGGCTGGTGGAGGCCCGACCCTGCTCAGGTGGATGTGGATGCGCTGGTCAGGCCGATTGCCACGGTGGTGCGTGATTACAATGAGTACTCATATGTCGAAGGAGGTAGAGCGGTGGGAGGAGAGGAAGGTGCGGCGGGGGGTGAGGGAGCCAGTGTGGTTGGTGTCGCAGCCACTCGTGATTCTGGTGAGGGTGGTAACTCTGGTGGTGGTAAAGCTGTGGCTGCGGCTCCTTGGGTTGTGGGAGCAGCGGTGAATGGGAGGGGATGGGTGCAGCGCGAGCAGAGGCTGGCAGTGGCTGAGAGTGAGAGGGCGTTGCAGCTGCTGAGTCTCGTGCAGTCTGGGCTGCGCCGTGTGGTGCTGGGGGTCATGCTCACACACGGTGCTGACTGGGATGCCCCCCCTGCTCCCAGTGAACCCTTTGAAAAGGACAGCTTCAGACGAAGCAGCTGCAGCAGCAGCAGGTGGATGTGGCTGGAGGAGCTAGCAGGCAGGCTAGAGGAGCACACTGGTCATTCCCTGCCAAGCCTGCTCGCCAGGCATGGGTATGGCAGCCGTGCCTTCCCCAGGTGGTCCGTGAAGGCCCGGCTGGTGGCACTGCTGGGTGACATGCCTGACCTCGTGCGCGTGGGTGGCGGAGAGGCGCTGCTGCCTAAGGCGGAGGTGACCCAGGGGGAGCACATGGGCGCACTGAAACACCATGACACAAACATGTGCGAGGGTGAGCGGTGGAAAGATCAAAGTTATGAGGAGGGTTTTGAAGCAGTGGGAGAGATGAATATGTGGAGGGATGGGTGTGTGGATGACGAGGAGGCGGCTGAGGAGTGGTGGCTGGAGATGGATGGCGGGGAATGGGCCGACAGTGATGACCTGGGCCTGCGGCACTGCGGCCTGGTGGTGGTGCTGGCAGGGGGCGCTGAGCTGGACCCGCGCTTCAAGACATGGCACGTGCGCAACGAGGGCAGGTGGGACGGGCGCGTCTACTCCATGGCTGGGCTCAGCCTCGGGATTGCCTCCGCGCTTGCTTCTTCTGGCGGCGGTGTCGAACAAAGGGTGCAAAGTGATAGATTCAAACGTGAGGGGAAGGATAAGGTGTGGGGAATGGATGGGATGGGGTATGATGATGGTCTTACGAGCAGAGACGGTGTGAGGGACGATGTGATGGAGCGTGTGGTGAGCCATGTGAGTGAGTGGGTGGTGAATGTGCCGAAGGGATTTGACGTGGAGAGAGTGGTCGAGATGGAGAGGAAGTGGAGGGAGGAAGATGCGGAAGTTGAAGTGAGAAGTGAAGTGGAGGAGGATTTGTTCGAAGTGATATAGGAAAGGTGGCACAGAATAGGGATGTGGTGTATAGGACCCATTGAATATCTCTAGTGGTTGCCCTTATTTGATTTGTTGATTCCATAATTCCTGATGCGATATCCGCGCTATATCTGCGCGAAACCGACCCCTCCCCTCCACCACATTCGCGTCATTCCCCCAGATGCAAAGCACATTCTCTTGGACTGATCTGCCTGGATTTGGTCTCACAGCGTCATCTGATGTCGATAGCTCTCGAGTGCCATGTCCGTCAGCTGGTTCGATTTCGAGTCTCGGCCAAGGCCGTAGCGACGCCACGTTACCTTCCGCTTTGACGCTATGCTTTTCTGACATTTCCTTACTCCACAGTCGCCATGCGCTAGCTTTCCCACAATGCTCAGACGCGCTGCCGCCAAGGGCCCACCGACTGTTACCGCGGAAGGGAAGGCTTCCAGTTTTGCGCGCTCCACGAGGATCGCCTCTTTCTTCGGTGTTTTATTCCTACTCGTGGTTACCACGTCTTGTTACACCAATCGGTACTTCGCTACCGTTTCAGAGGATTCCGTTCATCCAGATGACCTCAGCGATCAGGAATCCATGTCGGAAGCTACCGTCAAAGATAGAGATCAGACGTTTCCGACAGTGGAGGCGAGTGCGACGGAGAAGCTCGCATTCCTCTTCCTCACGCGAGGCCCGCTCCCCCTCGCGCCGCTGTGGGACCGATTCTTCCAGGTGCGCCTCGCCGCTCCCTCGCTCCCTCACGCTCCCTCACGCTCCCTCCCGCTCCCTCACGCTCCCTCACGCTCCCTCACGCTCCCTCACGCGTGCATACCGCGTTCTTAGGTGCGCGTTGGTGGGATTTTACGCGATTTGCTAGCCTCGGATGATGTAGCCTGCTCGCTCTGCGATCACGGCCACACGCCGCTCACTGTCTCTCTGTCTCTGCCCCGCGCGCGTGCCCCCAGCAGGGCCACGAGGGGCGGTACTCCGTGTACGTACACACGTCCACGCCCGGCTTCGCCTTCCCGTCGGACTTCTCGCCCACCTTCCGAGACGCGCTCATCCCAGGCGGCAAGGTGAGCCCTCGTGTGTGTAGTGCGCTGGGGCTAGGCGTGGAGAGCGGTGGGGCTAGGCGTGGAGAGCAGTGGGGCGTGGGGTGCGGTGGGGCTAGGCGTGGCGCATGGGGACAGGCAGGGCATGATTGACTGCTCCAAACCTCTGATTGTTACCTGGACTCGCATGGTAGCGTCTCATGCATGGTGTCCCATCCGTTGCATGGCGTCAATTGCATCCCATGTGTTGTTCCACTCCAACGCCAAGCACTGATGCACAACAAGTCTTGCTCTTCCCCCCCCTTCCATCCCGCCCTTGCCTGCTCCCCGTGTGTGACCCCCTGGCTACGACCAGGTGGTGTGGGGCGACTTCTCAATGGTGGAGGCGGAGAGGAAGCTGCTCGCTGCTGCCTTCTTCGACCCCCTCAACGCCTTCTTCGCCCTCCTCTCTGACTCGTGAGCCCCCTCCGCCCCTCTCCCACTCGTCACTCTGCTCCTACGCACTGTTTTCCCCCAATTGTCACACTGGCAGCGAGGGATACCGGAAAAATTTGGATTGTGGCAGTCATGTTCGATCAACGCTTGGTTTTAGTGCGAACAGCACTGATTTCTCCACCCCCCTCCCCCCCTTTACCACGCAGGTGCATCCCCCTGTGGCCCTTCACCTTCATCTACAGCTACGTCGCCTCCACCAACGTCAGTCTACTGGATGCGTGAGTGCGCCCCTTCTGCTCCTTCCCTTGTTCCTCTCTTCTTGTTGCTCGTATAACCCCATAATCCTCAACTTCCCGCTCTCTCACTTGCCTGTCCTCCAAGATGGTTTCGCGAGTCATCTGCGTTGCTTTAGAGGATTAAACGTCGTGGATTTGTTTCAACCCCTGTTGATTGCAGGCACCATGACGTGTACCGCATGGGGTTTCGGCGCTACGAGCGGCACATCTTCAGTCCACTCATCCGCAAGGACGACTATGTGGGGGGCAGCCAGGTGGGGAGAGGGGCAGTGGGGCTAGCTGCAGGCAGGAGACCCTGTGTTGCATGCATTGCACAACACGAGTGTGGCTGCAACTCTGCTTCGCATTCTGCTTTCGCTCATCATTTCCCACCCCCCCGCTCTTTATTCACATGATGTGTGTGCCGTGCTGTGGTGTGTGTGCGGTGGCAGTGGTTTGTGCTGCGGCGGAGGCATGTGCAGATGATCACGAGGGACACCGCACACTACCTCACACACCAGAAAAGCTGCCAGGTGCTTACCACTTCAGGTGAATGTCATGCCTGGTGAATTTGGGGAACTTTGTTTAAGGAGGTTGGGGAAGGCGATGGGCGGTAGAGCGACCTGCTGTTTTCATGAGAGGTGGATGATGTTAGAGTGGGGGAAGCGTGAGTGCTGCGTGAGTCAACTCAAACAAGCTCACCGGCCCCCCTTCTCCCACGTGTGTGAGCAGTTCCGAATGAAGACTGGCAGCCGTTTCTGCTGCGCCAATGAGCATTACATTCAAGTGCTGCTGCATGTGAGTGCTGCAGCATGTGAGTGGATATCGAATATTTTCGTGAGTATTGTTAAATGCAGCTGTTATGGTACCATCATGCTCTACTGCATGTGACTATGAGCACAGACACAAGGAACAGGGCTAGGTGTTCCCAGTCCTCACTCTCACAGTCGTGCATCAGTCCGTTCCTGCTTTCCTTTCTTTCTCCCACTCGCTTTCCCTGCTGTGCTTGTCGTCCAGCTTTATGACCCCTCGGGAATATCCCGCTATCCCACAACCTTCGCTGATTGGAGCCTGGCAGAGTGGCATCCCAAGCTTTTTGCTGCTGAAAATGTCACCAGTGACCTTATAACGAGTATAAAGGTGTGACCCATGATCAAACCTCACTGTCCGGCATTTCATCGATGCCCACGCACCAGCTTGCATTTCTTTTCTCAATGCTACCCTGACTATTTTTACTTGCTATTGCATGTCTTTCTGTCTGCCTTTGTGGCATGTGGTTGATTGCACAGTCATCCAAGCAGTTTCTTTCCTACCGCAATTTTTGGAAGGATTTCCGGAGCAATTACTCCTATGTAAGATTCTCCCTTTCTTACATGTGTTGATCCTACTTCGGTAGCCTGGAAACCTATGGCTAACACTCGCTTGTCTGGGATGCACTGTTGAATGAGATTGTCGGTTGGACCTGGTCATGTCTATTATGCTGTCGTACCTAACCTTGGGGTTGTTGATTCCTCTTTCCTGTGCAGATCAAAGATACATCTCTTCCACAACCTGAATTGGTGAGTTTCAATGCTGCCTTCCCCTCACGTTGCCTATGCTCCCGTCGCCGCCTCCTCTCCCCTAGTCGTCCTGTCACATTACCCCCCCCCTCACATCACACTTCTCGCACATCACGTTGCGGAGTTGTCATGCTTGAAGGTTAATTAATGAGATTTGTACGTGCTGTTTCTGTGTCTTTGTGTTCAGTCGCCATCAAACGGGTTTTGTTCCATTGATGGGTTGCCACGTATTAGCTTCTTGTTTGCTCGCAAATTTGATGACTCAAGTTTGGATTATTTACTAGATCATTCTAAGGAGATTTTGGGATTCTGAAGTGAAATTTCATCCGTCATACGCGCTGCAGCTGAAAGCCAACAACAAAAGCGTCATTTGCTTGCCGTACCCAGCGAAGTGTCGCACTGTGCTGTAATCGTCGCAGCCAGGCTTATGAATCGAAGTGGCGAAAGATTCTTCGCTATCTTCTCCGCAAATCCAAGAAATTGCCACCCACTTCGGCCATTTCCTCCTGACCAGCCCCTCCCCTCTCGCCTCGCCTCGACCGCCATCGCGAATTTCTCTCTGCTTCCATCCACTACTTGCCATTCCTGCTTTCGCTAAATACTCCTCATGGTTAGAAGCTCGCAAGAAGCCTTTCGACTTCTACTTGGTTCCTACTCGCTCGAGTTCCCGCTGCCTGTAGCCTTTTGCTAATAAATGACGTATTTAGCGCGAGCAACGAGACATTCAGCTGCACTAGCTCTTTCGAGTTCATCCACCACTGCCTTAAAAAACTGCCTTCAGAAAACCAATCCCACGAAAGTCAGTCTATTTTCTTTCATCCCCCGTAAATTCCGTCCCGAAACCAAGTTTATCGTTAGATTCGTAGTCTCGTCGCACAACAACCTACACCAAAGATTCTATTCGGTCAAGCTCCACGGTCATGTAAGCTTTCGTTTCGTCAGCCAATGGTCCCTAATTCCTTCTTTTTTTCCGTCACTAGCGTTGCATTGTAGAAGTTCCGACCTTCGCTGTGCACAGGCATAATCATAACGCGCCGATTTTGTGTTGTCAGGGCGAATGAGTTTATGAGGAAGATTCCGAGCAGCTCGCTGTACGTGTCCCGCCCCACGTGGTGGTTGATGTCGCGCTTCCACTTCAGCTTCGCGGAGTACTTCAATCCGGCCAATCAGGAGATCGGCGTGCTTCGCGTGCTCAACAACGACCTAGTCCAGGTCCCTCCCACACGCATTTCACCTTCTCAATTCATAACTTGTCCTTCAGCCCCTCAATTTGCACCTTGTAGAGAATTTTGCTTGGAGCATTCTAGACTCAACTCCTTATCAGAATGTTATGTTTGTCTAGCCTGCAGTGGGATACTCTATAGCGAGTACAGCTTGAATTAGGGTTTGCTATATGTACTCAACTGCCTGCTAGTGAAAACCTCTCTTTCCTGTTTCTGATTTTCGCCTACTGTTTCAACATGCTATTGTTAGAAGAACTAGGCAAGAATGATTGAAAGGAGAGAGGTTTCACTAGCAGCAGTTGGGGTACATATAGCAAACCCTAACTGGGTTGTACTCGCTATAGAGCACCCCACTACAGGCTAGACAATAATAACATTCTGACACACCCCCATAGCCAAAGTGAGGTGTAATCAGTACAATGAGCAGGCATAGCAATAGTTCACAATTATAAGCAAAGCTAGAGGTGATCATAGAGGGCAAGTGAGGAGGAGGAGAAACTGTGAGGGCGAGAAGATGAAAGGCGCCGACTGAAGCTGCAGACACACGGGCAACAGGAGCGGCGCGCACAGTGGCTACCGAGCGCACGAGGGCACCGGACTACGGGAGTATCTGGCTCCGCGGCTACGACGAGCACACACAGGAGCAACGGACCCACAGGCGACTGGCGAAGCAGGCTCGCTGGGCTACCGAAACGCGCGAGGGCATCCGGACTACTGGCGCTGCTGGCGTCACGACGGCTACCTCCACGCAACCTCCCCCGACCGTCCCACGCCCCTCTCACACACCCCCTGCTGACACCCTAGCTCCACTTCCACGGCACCCCCCTTAAACCCTAAACCCTCGGCTCCCACACACCCACCCCCCTCAGCGGCAGCTGCAGCAGTGGGAGACGAGGGAGGAGGAGGAGCAGGGGGAGGAACTCACAACCGACACCCCCATAGCCGCCACCCCCACACTCTTCACCCCCAAACCCTAAAACGGGCGGAACGGGGGAAGGAGCGCGGGGGACGGCGAGGGGGACGGCGCGCGGCCCCCAGGACGCCACCACGGGGCAGCAAGGGGCCGCGCGCGGCTCCTTAGAGCGGTTTAGGGTTTAGGGTTTAGGGTTTAGGGTTTAGGGTTTAGGGTTTAGGGTTTAGGGTTTAGGGTTTAGGGTTTAGGGTTTAGGGTTTAGGGTTTAGGGTTTAGGGTTTAGGGTTTAGGGTTTAGGGTTTAGGGTTTAGGGTTTAGGGTTTAGGGTTTAGGGTTTAGGGTTTAGGGTTTAGGGTTTAGGGTTTAGGGTTTAGGGTTTAGGGTTTAGGGTTTAGGGTTTAGGGTTTAGGGTTTTAGG